AATACATTTTATTAGCACATTCTTTAGGAAGCATTTCAAAAGAGTTGAGCTTTTTCATGACAAGATGATAGCGTTCCTCACGCTCACTCTTTGTTCCCTCATGGAGCGCATAAACGTCCGACCATAGTGCATGGGCGTCTTTGTGGTTCCTCACCCGGTTGAACACATCTTTACAAAGGCCTCTAAATATGATGTTTCTAGCCTTTGCATTCTATTTTTCATAGTTCAACTCATCGCCTTGTGGGTGTGCGGCATCCCGAGGTTTTAGGAAACCTTGTGAGGCGGCTTTAAGTATTCCAACATCTAGAGCTTCTAGATACGCCTCCATATGAATTTTCCAATAAGGAAAATCATCCCCCTCAAAGATAGGAGGTGGTCCATCCCCGTGAGACATCTTTCACTAGGCGGTTAAGCCTAAATATGTGAGCATGAGGCTCTGATACCAATTGAAAGGATCAAGATGCCCAGAGGGGGGTGAATTGGGCTAATTCTAAATTTCTTTGCAATAATTAAATTCTACAGTTAGCCCAATTAACCCCTTGTGCCTAAAAAGTGTTTCTAGTTGTTCTACCGCACAAATGACTTGCAACCTAAGTTCCAATCCTACTCTAGCATGGCAATTCTATGAATTGTAAAGACAAGAATTGAATTGCTCAATGTAAATACTCAAAGTAATTACTCAAAGGAAATATTCAAAGTAAATGCTCAAAGTAAATAGAGAAGGAGGAACGCGGTGATGTTTTGCCGAGGTATCGAAGAGTCGCCACTCCCCACTAGTCCTCGTTGGAGCACCAGCGCAAGGGTGTAGCTCCCCTTGATCCACGCAAGGATCAAGTGCTCTCTACGGGTTGATTCGTCGACACTCCGTCGCGGTGAATCACCCACAACCGCTCACAACTTGAGTTGGGTCATCCACAAGCTCTCCGGATGATCACCAAGCTCTCCAATCACCACCAAGCCGTCTAGGTGATGGCGATCACCAAGAGTAACAAGCACGAACTCTCACTTGACTATGACAAGCCTAGGGAGAATGGTGGATGCACACTTTGCTACTCTTGATCTTACTAATGAGGGCTCTCTTTGGGATTCTTAAATCTCAATCACCTCACTAGGACCTTGCTCTTCTTCGCACTCTCTAAGGTGTGTTTCAGCTGTTGGAATGAGCAAAAGTGACTCCACACACGAGTGGAGCTTCTTTTATAACATGGGCTGAAAAACGAACCGTTATATGCCTCTGTGGTGTGACCGGACACTCCGGTCATGTTGACCGGACGCTCCGGTCAGTACACCCCGAACTCCAGTGTTTACAGTGTGACCGGACGCTACCAGCGTCCGTTCAGCACTGACCGGACGCGTCCGGTCACGATTTTCCCTCTTTGGAAACTTACTGGAAACGACCGAATGCTGGCTCTCAGCATCCGGTCACATGACCTTCCAACGTTCGGTCGCACCGAACAATTTCACCTCGGTCAAATGAACTGACCGGACTCTGTGCCAGCGTTCGGTCAGTATTTGACCCTCCATTCACTTCCAACTCTCGATCATACGTGAATGAAGTTTGCTCCAATGGATCTTAGGCATATGTAGGAGCTACCTAGCGCTAGTTTTGACAAGTGTGCACCACACCTAACTCACTAGACTCACCTAGGTCAAGCTACCCGTCCATACCCCCCTTAATAGTACGGCCAAAGGAAAAGCAAAGTTCTAAACTACTCTAAGTGTCTCTCCAACTCCAATCGACACTTAGAACTATTCATCCTTAACCTTGTCGTCCATCCTTTGAAAACCGAAACGATTTCTATCGTAGGGGCATGACCACCATGATTGCCCAATCGATCTCCATTACCATGACCTAACTTAATTGCCTCTGCAAAACACATGTTAGTTATAGTAATCTTGTATTGTCATTAATTACCGAAACCCAACTAGGAGCCTAGATGCTTTCAACGTGATCGAATTTTAAAGCGTTGATCACGACCAAACCGTTGCTCCTAAACCTAAACCGGCTTCACTACACTCAAGATGGCATATGGAACTACTAAATCGAATCAAAACCCTACATCACTCCTTAACCCAATCTCCCCAAATAAATTGCTAAACATAGCAGCGTCTAACTGTCCACAGACTTAGAAATTTTCTAAGCGTTTGAGCTAATCTTAATTTCATATTGCATTTCTAAGCTACTGAAAATATTACTTAGCAATATTCTTTTTCAACAGCAAGTATTTCATTGTCATCTACAAAGTTTGCACTTCCAACTTTATTTAAGTATCATACACATGTTCTATAGTATTTTTGCTTAATAAAAATTAGTTTTAAACCCTACTTGATATGCATGAACCATCGAACCAACTTTCGTTTAGCATTTTTATTTATCATTTTGGGTTACAGAAATTGATCTACATACTTCACCACATGCATTAACATACAAGTATGATGCTCATGACATGTTTTAGTAAATGATTAATGGGTTAATACCGAGGGTGTTACAGCCGGTGAGGTGGAAAGAGGTGAGCCAGACTTTCTTGGTCTCGGGGGTGTGCTGTGAGTGGAAGAACTGGTCACAGCGATTGAGCCAGCCTAGAGGGTCATCTTTGCCGTCGTAGGTGGGAAATGAAAGCTTGTGGCAGCGCGGCACGGCGGCCTCCGGTGCCGGCGGCACGTGGGAAAGTGGCGGTGGCATGTGCATGGGAGCAGATGGCGGCGGGTGGGGGGCTTGCATGATGGATGAGGATGACGGAACAGGGGATGGTGAGTGGGGGAAGGAGATTTGTGTGATCGGTACGGGGTGGGAGGTGGGCGCCGGTGAGGTCGGTATGGCCAAGGACGGCTGCGCCAGATGGGACAGAGGCAGTTCCGAGATCACCGGACCCGAAGCCGGCAGTGGCGGAATGCCCTCGTAACCAGGGAGGCCCATGGACAGCAGTGGTGGCGCCGACATGGCCGGGCGGCTCTCGACGGCAGCGACGCAGTTGGACAGATTGCCGACTTGGCGCTGCAGGCCATAGATGACCGAAGTGAGGGCGTTAAGCGCATCCGTCCAGTGGCGCGGTGGTGGCGAGAGGAGCAGGCAGAGCGGTGGTCGTGGTGGCGGCGGCGGAAGGAGTGACGGGCACGGAGGAAGAGGCAGAGCCTGACATTGATACCAGGTTGTGAAGGGAGTAGGAATGGGAGATCAGCAGTCATGGCTTGAACGCCCGTCGACGAGCTGGCGGCGCCGTGCTTGGCGCCGAGGAAGAGAGAGCGAGGGTGAGCGCTAGGGCGCCAGAGAGCGAGAGGGAGATAAACTCAATCCCTAGCTAATCTTTCATTAAGCAAAAATGTTCCAACTTATACATGAATCCTAACAAACCACAGCTAATATTAAGGGATAAATATCAAATGAACTAACACTCCTAAACCATCAGATCTTGATAACTAAATGCGGTTCACCCCTGAAGACGTCCAGGTGCATTGCCACCCCTGGTGACCGGCTCTGCCGCGCCATGCCGCACAGTATCGCGGCCCACCGGTCAGCCACGATTCTTGTTGCGACGCTGGTAGACGTTCCCCACATAACACCTTAACTCGTGGTTTATACACTGAATTTGCACAGCGAATTCAATTATGCTAAGACAACCACTCGTTGCAGCATAACCATCAACACCGTTTCAAAAATAATAATAAACGAATTTAAATATAAATTGCAGTTAATCAACCAGACTAGTAACACAATTATATGTTTGCATTCTCACAAATGCAGTTCCACGATTTCTCTTGGTACTGCATGTTCCAAATGGAATCAGGCTAGTAAGATTGTAATAAAACTGAAATCAATCAGCATTGAATAAATACTGCATACAAAAGGTGGAAAACACAAGAAACCATTCCGTCTTAATAGGTAAGGTTACAGAATAAACCTCATATTAAAATATAAGGTTAGCTGATTCAAAGCCAGTCAGTGCTCCTCCATCACTACACTTATCTTCAAACGGTGCTTATCTCAATCCTTCAGAACCCGAATTTCATGAAAACTCAGTTTCAATCTTTAACAGTTAATGCACACATCCTTAAAATATTGCTTGATGCAGCCAGCTGACCCCAAAAAAAATGTTGATCCTACAGATTTCATCATGCCAGTCAATGGTTAATTAGCGAAAGCCATCTGTAAGTGGTTTCTTCAATGAGATTCCCTGAAGTAACCACACTTTCAAATGCCAGCCATATCCATAATTGGCCATTGCTGTTTGTTAAAGCCAAAACGCTAGCATGATTCACTGTTTGCAAAACAACCAGACAATGGTATCACCACCAGACCCACATAGATCCATCAATATCATTTCAAATAGCTAAGAAATTTGACCAAGATCTGCGGTTAGCAACAAAAAAATGCAGGTACATCATAATAAAACCACACATTGCATTGCCACAAATATAATAACAAGTTGCTCCAAGTGCACTCAGAATAGTTACTAAATTAGGAATTATACAGCACCAAACAAGTGGAATAACAAAGGCAGATAAACAAGAAAACATAAAGACTCTTAACAGGTAGTCTACTTTCCAATTCATTACATCCAGAATTACTAGTAACGTCTAAGACTTGTACCCATCAAACATAATAAATAGAAGATAGGATATATTGCCAGCATGGTTCAAAGGCACGAAGGCCTCATCTGCCATGCTGCTGAAACCAATGCTTGAAATTTCAATCTTCTTGTCAAGAAGCTTCAGAAGCACATGTCTCATGAAGATGATGCATGCATCACTGATATTGCCTGATGTAGCCAGCTAATTGACCAAAGCATTGATAGCAGCTCATATAAATTGTGGATGGCAGATTGACACAAACATATTTCCATCTCAACAGCACCGAAACCCTCTTGAATCACCAAACAAAGCTAATCGCAACAACAAGTGGTTCCTCCATCATGAAACTCCCTAAAATAATTTAGTTTACCAGCTCCTTCTGAAGAAATCAATGCCAAATTTGGACCTTGTATTGAATGTCGTGAGCATTTCTAGCTGAGACTAGATGATGGTAATGCCCCTGAGTACAACGGAACATATGGGAAAAATTTACGATGCACATCTTCTGTTGGTAGAAACTCAAAATAGGGAACTTCTAGAGTACAGATAACATGCACATCCCTGTGTTTCATATCATAGGACACCAGTCTTTTCTTTAACCAATCATAGAAGAAGATCAAATCGCTGTCTGGATGAAACGCAGCTGTGTAGTAGTCCGATACCCTTCCTGGCATTCTTGGTCCAAATAGATCTGGCTTGTTGATGCTTTGTTTAAAGATCCATATCCACTCCTCACTGTCATGATCCTCAAGAACATAGATTGACATGGCATCACTTGAGTCGAGATTGCTATCAACATAAAGTAAGCGGCCCTGAGAATGACAGACAGAAGAACCAGAGCCACCACCATTTTCCCTCACTCGGGAGATCCTCCATGTCTGGCCCTCTGTGTTCACCGACACGACAGAATTGCGTATCATGCAGAAATGCAGGAAGCCTTTGAAATAGGTCATTTGGCCAGTGTATTGGACATATTCTATGTCACGGTCAAATGGGGCTTCTCTGAGAACCCATCTTCCCGTTTAGGACGAGTATATCTCCACTGCCCAGACGATGAATTCGTAATGATCCAACTGCTGCACCAGCTGAAACACATGGAAATGCGGGGAGATGGACGGATCGAAGCCTAGTGCCGCTGTGCTGGTGTCTATGGGTAGACTGACACCGTCATAATAGTCAATAAGACCTGGGACGCGGCTTGGTTGGGGTAAGGTAACCCACTCCCCGGTGGCTGGATTGCACACGATGTAGAAGGGTGGTGGTGAATGTCGTTGCCAATATTCCTCGCTCCGCAAGAGGAGCAACCCGTTGCAAGAGTCCAGCAGCTCACAGGTGGGGGGAAGGAAGGAGAGAGTCATATCAACCCCGGGAGGCGGAGGCAAAACCGAAGACATAGACAAGCCGATGAAGTCCCAGGTCGGGCGGCTGCCGTAGGGACGGGAGAAGAAGAGGCCCGACAGCGTCTGCGCGAACCTGCGGCGGTTGGCCGGATCGGAGATGAAGGCGCGCCAGGCCCGCGAGACGCACTCGCAGAGGCAGAGCGACTTGGCCGGCAGCCGCGCGAGGATCTCGACGATGAGCTCGTCCGGGACCGGGAGGACGGGCGAAGCCGCTGCGGCCCGGCGGCTTCCTCCCTCCATCTCGACGGAAGAGGTGCAGCGGAACCTGCAATTCATGCGGCGGCGCCTGGTTAGTGGTTACGATTGGGGCCCGAATGGATTCACTACGGTTATTTATCGCTGGGATTTGGGGGCATTGGAGAGTTTGAGAGTCGATTGCTTGCTCACCTCTTGTGCTGTCGGGAAGGATAATAGCCCCGCCGCGGCGGACTCCTCGCTGCGGATCCCAATCAACCGTCGCCGGAGAAGATGACGGATGGGAGGGCCGGGGAGGAACACTGGAGCCGGCGACCGAGCGAGCTCGGGCGGTGAGGCGTGTTCGTGCGTCCACTGAAACGTGTGGTGTGGCCACCGTTTTGTTGGTCCACCTGTCAGATCTCTCTCCCTCTGTTTACAAGAGTCTCAGCTGTTGCAACTCTCATGGAATCTGTTTGCTAGCCAATACTATGCCAGCCATGACAGGTTAAGCTTTAAACGATTAGTAACTAAGAAGAAATTCTTCGTTTAGTGGATATTAAATTCGGACCTGCACAAGCTAACTACAGTGTTCTCATGGTAGCCAATACTATGCCAGCCATTGTCTGATTCATGAGTAATGACCAAAGTAGCTCTTAACATGAATCATTTTGGCTGTTGCATCTATGAACAGCACTAAATTTTAGAGAAATTTGCAAATACTGTGAAGATTATTGAGCTGAAAGCCAACGCACAAGTCGTTGCTGCCTAGAATCAACAAATGGGACCAGGCACAATTATAAACAGGTTATATCTCTCAAAACATACAAAATAAGTTTTACATTCTGCAATAACTTGATAAGCCCACTCTGATTCTCTTAAATTCAGAAAGACTACATGCATGTAACTTGCATTTCCATGCCTGCATATATGAATATAAAATGTGAGTGTTTGTAAAGCCTTTCTTTTCTTTTTAAGGCAACCACAATTGTATTTGTTAAAGTGTACATAGATTGCCATCGTATTCTGAAACTCTGAGTTGGAAAATACGGTATCCCAATGTCAGATATGATCAAGCCTTCACATCAAACGACCTTCATAGCATGCTCGAGGATACTTATGCTGCAGCTGGGGCCACTGCACAAAGAACTGGTCAGCTATCCGTAGCTTGTACAACAGTAAACCGCTCAATGATAGCTTCTTCACCCTTGCAATGCTTTCAATGTAGAAAATGGAGGACCATCCCATACCAAGCACCTACAAAAAGACAGCAATCCTAAACTAGTTAGATAATAGAAAATATGGCATCAACTTGAAACTTGGGCCGAAGAAATTAACAATCACAAGTAAGATCAATGGCAATATTATCCATTTATCCTCCAAGATCAATCGCACAAGTCTCATACTGCATCAAGTAAGCAAGCATAGAAGCTAGGGTGTGAGGGCTACCTTCAGAAGGAAAGCTGAGATGCATAGAGGAAAGCATGTCCCTGGACCATTGCAAAATATCTGAAGGAGTATTACAAAACTTTAGTATTTGAACTCATGCTGCAAATAGCTACCATAGTTTGAACTGGGTACACACCACTTGTGGTCTGATTCTTATTACTAGCCACATAGCATGCAATGTGGCTAGAAATGTTGTTGCGATGGATGTAATATAAGATTGGCCTACTTCACGACTACGGTATATCTGCATGAAATGAGCATTCTCGGCAGTCTTCATTCCATCACTCTGAAAAGGCACTAAATATAATCATATTCCATATTCTAAATAGTTTAGCAAGTTCCCAGCATATAATTGGTTCAATGCAACATAATAATTGACCTCCACCTGAATAAGTGACTGTTCATAGACCTGTGCCTTTTGAAGACTCATGTTGTCAGTAAGTGCAGCCACATAGTATCTTGGTGTGAACCTATCCTTCTGAAGTGTTGTTACAATATTCATCATTTCTGCGGTATGCCCTCCTAACAACCAAAACGCAAAATAACACATGTTTCATTAAGCTACATATCTTACAACTTAGACACTTGATAATGATAACTCAAAGAAACTACCAAATGTTCTAGTAAGAGTGTGAACAAGAGTCCAGTAAAATAGTAATAATGCTAGTGACGTGCTATTTGATAGCGATCCAATGTGAATAGAATTTCTGCATAAATATACTTATTACAAAGAGATACAAGTGTGCTTTGTAATTGTAAATTGTAAAATGATAAGATCCTGACAGTTTTAATACCGCCATTAAACAAGCCAATACATGCTAAATAGGGTGAGAATGAATATGTGACTAAGACAAGATATTGCGATATTAGCAAATTGGCAACTACTGAAGGAAGTCAACCAAAGTGCAAAAAAGAATATAAAAAAAATGTGCCCTGTTTAGAATAGAAGCTGGAGCTGAAAAATGTCTAGCAGATGCCACAAAAAGGAGACTCCTAACTCAGTCCAGGGTCATGAGAGTTGCTCAGTGTTGTAACAAAACATCATATATAAGCTATCTTATTAGCTAACAAACATCTTTAGTTCGAGCTGTCTTATGAGCTTTGCACATGGCAACAGATATAGAAACTGAGTTTAAACATGCACCAAGTTTGTATAAACTGTGACAATGCCCTCTCAAAAGCAGAACTGCTGCGTCACAAATGCTACGGTTGACTACGAGCTATAATGTTTCTGGACGAAACAAGATTTTGTCCCATGATCTCTTTGTGACAGTCTATCAAGATTAAGTCAGTGAAAATGCAATTCCCATATACAGAGACCAAGAGTTGTGCTTTTATTACCATAGAAGAAAATAAACTCGCTTATGAACTTGCAGTTACCAACAATTATTCAGTATAACCACATCTTGGTACTCATGCATGCCCTTACACCTTTGAGTACTCAGTACTGTTTAATATACCAAGCAACCGTATCCAAGACTTGTCCGTAAGGTATTTGACAGGAAAGACCAAAATACGTACTCACCGGAGCCAAGGACTATGAGACAACGCAATCCAGTGGCGCGCGGCCTTGACGCTGGTTGGCCACTGTGCCACAGCACATAGAAGAAGCGGACTGCGAGCACAGAGATAAGTACTGGAAAGGCGTAGAAGGCGACAGCCACGGCGTTGAGACCCATCTGCGTTCAAGTAGCAGAGCGTGAAACAAGAAGTTTACACATCTATCTACAATATGACTTCTTGTTTGGCCTATGCCTTCTAATGGACATGAAAGTATTGAGTGTTTCATCTTCATCCACTTCGAATCAACTCTGTATTGTACTCTAGCACATGAACAAATTATGTTTCAGTGAACCAAAGAATAAACTCTGTATTGCAATAGCACTGCTGTACATCAACTCTAGCACAAGTAACAAATTCAACAAATTTCATTTTACTGACCGTAATCTACTCTTTACTGTGCTGTTGTACATACATCAATGTTTGATGTTCCTATTTCACTATCTCAGTACACATGAACAAAACTACAATCCCTGAATCGCTGTGTGCGGAACGAGATTGGAGATTGTAGACAGGAGACGCAAAGAGAGGATAGAGGAGCCTCACCGCGGCGGCTCAGCCGGCGCACGACGGTCGGAGGTCAGCGCAGGCTCGGTTCCGCACTGCCGCGCCGGCCTCAGTGAGTGCGAGCGCGACGATGCCCCTGGCTGCTGGCCTGCTGCGGACCTGCCCCGGCCGCGGGCCGCCCAGCCTCTGGCCGCGACCCGCAGATGCGCGGCGCGGCAGCAGCCGCGCCAGCCAAGCAGAGCAGAGAGCTGCCGGTCCGCCGCCACCGCCGCCGCCGCCAGCGGATTTGGAGCGCAGGAAAGGTAATCGGGAAGCCAGATCGGGAGAAGCGCCGCGCGAGGGATGCGGGACGGCGACGTCCTTGGTCGGCTGACCGGAGGGTGTTGGAGGCGCCGGACGGCGGGCCAGGGGCGGCTAAACAAGAACAAGCTCGGTGCCTCGGTCGGCCTCCTCCGCTGCGGCTGCGCTTATGGGCTGGGCCATTTGCCTGAAGTACATGGGTCGGGTCTGACTGGATTACAGGGTATGCTGAAGAATTTTCATTTTTTATATTTTAAAATTTTGTTTTTATTTTCAAAAAGAAATTGTTGCAACAAACAATGAGCATATTTATACTACCATAACCAACTAATATGGTGATATTAACTTATCGTAAGTGAACAGGTGGAATTAGCCGATTCAAAAGATGGAATTTCTTCTTTTTTTCTGGACAACAAACATTAAAAAATCATAAAAATTTCCTATGATCTTCGTTGGAAATAAAAAAATTTATATGAAAATCATAGAACTTGATATCTACAACTTTATTTTACAACTCCATTTAAAACCATCTTGATGCCTAACTAATCGATACAATGATTATATCTACGAATGCATATCTCAACCTTGTACCGATTAACTCAAAACTAAAATTGCTTCACATTGGGACGCAATGAACTACAAAGTTATAACTCATCGAGATCTACAAATTCTATTTTCATATAATATCATAGGGAAAAGTTATAACTTTTTGAGATATACTATGCTAGTGATTCACTCGTTACCTCAAAATCATACCCTTTTCATATAACCTCGTATGAAGATAAAGTATGTATAAAGATTATAATTATAAATGGGATCTACAACTTTAGCTCACAACTTTTTTGTTTGAAGTCATATTGGTGACATAATAATCAATACAAGTTTCATATCTGTGTAGATCTGAGTGTTGTATCAATCATTTCAACACTAAGGAGACTTCGAACAAGAAATTTATGAAAATTCAAAGTTATAGATCTCACCAAGCTCTAAAATTCGTTCAAATTTTGTCTCCATACAATTTATTTTTTAAGGCATACTATCAAGAAAAAAAAAGAAATTCAACCGTTTGAAACGGCGGTAAAGTTAATCCCGCCAGTTTCTTTTTTTTTGGCAATAAGCTAATATATCGGAGTATCAATTGGCAATGGGAGTATATATATAGATATGTAATTTTTTGTCCCGACAGTTTTGTTTTCAAAAACAAATTTTAAAATATAAAATTTTGCCGATCCTCTATTGCCACTCTTGCC